CTGGTTGTCCAAAGTGAGAAACGGGATGCTGGATGGGAGAGAACTTTGGTGGATCCAGAAGGGCTTGGAATCTAAGGTCCTCCTTGACTTGAATCGATCTGTTCATCTGGTACATTTCCCCCCACCCTCCCTCCAAGAAGTGCAGGGCGTTACAGCTTCTTCCTTCCCCATGTTAGCCTCACAACCACCCTGTGAGGTAGGCGAGGCTGAGGCAGTGTGACTGGCCCAGGCTCACCCAGTGAGCTTCCTGGTGGAGTCAGGAAGGATTTGAATCTGGGTCTACTAGAATCAAGACTTACCCCTTTAACTACTCTACCATTCCTGGACTCGGGGTTGCGGCTGTGATGGGGCCAATATGCAATTAATTCTTTTCTTAATTTTTTTAAAAAAGGTCTGTGTTCGATGCCAGAATTCAGCACAGCGATTATGTTCAAATGTTATGTCTAAAAAATGGAAAGGAGTAGAGGACTTACAACCTCCTTTCCCTTCCCCTCCCTACAACAGACACCCTGTGAGCAATGCTGAGAGCCAGTCTGGTGGCGTGGTTAAGTGCACAGACTCTAATCTGGAAGAACTGGGTTTGATTCCCCACTCCTCCACTTGCAGCTGCCGGATGACCTTGGGCAAGCCATAGTTCTGATAAGAGCTGTCCTTGAAAAAGAGCCGTTTCTGTCAAGAGCTCTCTCAGCCCCACCTACCTCCAAGGGTGTCTGTTGTGGGGAGGGGAAGGGAAAGGAGTTTGTAAGCCCCTCTGAGACACCTTTGGGTAGGAGACCCCTTAGGATAGTGAAGGGCCATGGGGTATAAATCCAATCTCTTCTTCTTCTTCTGGAGGACACGTTCCCTGCCCGGAGAAGCCACTGCCTCTGAGCCCCAGAGGTGTGGGTCACTGTTGCCCCTGTTTCGGACATCCCCCGCCTCTTTTGGTGCCTGGCTGTGCCTGACCTCCTTTGGGCAGAAGAAGGCCCGGGCGGGGCCACGCACACTCCTGGCGGGCACGGTGCCCGGGCTCCTTTCCCAGGCCGCTCCGTGGCCATAAATTTGCCCGCTTTGCTCTCCTGCATCGAGCGGCTTTCAGATCCTCCGCCTCAGAGGCATTTAAGGGATTGATCCAATTAACCCAGGTGGGGGGTCGGGGGAGAAAAGCGCTCCAGCCCATGATTTATTCCAGCACTAAAATTAAAACACAAGTATCTGGGGGGGGGGGACGTTGGCTGCCCTTGCGGCAAAGGAGGAGAGGGCCACGGGACTTGGGGG